CACCGCAGCCCCTGGCCTCGAGGCTGCCGCTCCCCTCAGCGTCGGTTGCGCTCCTGCGGGCGGAGGCGTCCCTGCGCCCGATCTCACCCTTTCCTTCCCCTCTGGCAGATCCTTCTCCCGGGGCAGTCGCGGGACCTGTGCCCAAACCCCTAGGGCCACGACCACGCCCCCTCCCAAGTTCCCACCCCTCTCCTTCTGCGTTCCCGCCCAGATCTCTGGCCGGCCGGCTGGCGCTGTAGGGTGGCTCCGAACGGCACGCACAGCCGCAGGGGTTTCCTTTACCAGACTCAAGGCGGTGGCGCACCTGCACCCACTAAAATCTCCCTGCCGGCCCTCGCGGTCTAGCGAGAGGCGCGGAAGGCCTAGCGACGCGATGGGAGAGCCGCGCTGGGATGCGTGCGAGCGGACGCCGGGAAAAGGACTTCCGCGGGGCTGCGCCAGGGGCTGGGCCTTTCTTAAAACAGTGGGAGGCCCACGAAGAGTCTAAAGCCCGAGGCTCCTCTTTTTGGGTTTGCTCGCTCTGGTACAGGCTCAGGCAAGAATGGAGAGGGGACAGAAAAGGAGGGAGGGCAGGGAAACTGAGGCTGCATCAGTCGTCGAGGCAGAGGGTGAAGGAGGCCTGAACGAGGCATCCAGGAAGTGGAGCCCTTAAGATTTACATGGGCCCAGACCCGTCTAAAATCGTATTATGTACCCCAAGGACATTGGCCTTGACCTATCTTTCCTGCTTTTCTTGGCCTTTTTTTTTTTTTTTTTTTTTAGACGGAGTTTCCCTCTTGCAGGCTGGAGTGCAGTGGCGCGATCTTGGCTCACCCCCACCTCCACCTCCACCTCCGGGGTTGAAGCAGTTTTCCTGCCTCAAGACTCCTGAGTAGCTGGGATTACAGGCGTGCGCCACCACACCCAGCTAGTTTTTTTTCTTTTTGTATTTTTAGTTGAGACGGGATTTCACCATGCTGATTAGGATGGTCTCGATCTCTTGACCTCGTCATCCGCCCGCCTCGGCCTCCCAAAGTGCTGGGATTACAGGTGTGAGCCACCGCGCCCGGCTTCTTCTTGGCCTCTAAGGGTCCACGTCCTTGCAGCTTCCCGGGGAGATGCACGCGCACACCGCAGAGCCTGAGCCCCTGCTCCCCAACTTTAAAGCCCAGCTTAAAAGTCACACACTGTCCCCTCAGACACCTCCCCTGCTATCCAAGTGCTCTCAAAAGCCCTTCCTATGCTCACTTTGGCTCCGGCCCTTACACATCCCATGTTGGCTTGTTCTCATTCACTTTCTTCGTTACCTCCAACAACATGCTTATTGTCTAATACATGAAACAGTTAACAGGAAGTTTCCAGAATCAATGAGTACTTTTGAAAATTGGGCTGACTCTCGATCACTCTAGGAATTTATTGCCACCAAAAAGAATGATAACGTTTGATGCAAAGACACAAACTAAAAGGAACTAGAGCGCTACCCAGAGTCCTCACAGCAGTTCTCCTCCACTTCCACAATCCATCCTGTCCCAGGCTTGGAAGGTCTTTGAAAAGACGCAAAACATCAAGCAAAGAATAATTACTACCCTTGCTCTAACCCAACCCCAACTCAAGCTGTTTGATGTTAAAGCTCTCTCATTTTCCACCATGCTGCCGACTGAATAAACCAAGAAAGCACAAATCAAGCCTAAACTGGATTTAAAAAGGATACCCAGTGGCAATGCTGATACATTTCTTTACTACAAGCTCTGGGTAATAAAATTAAGACAAAAAAACAAAAAACAAACAAACAAAAAAAAACACACACACACACACAACTACTGAATATACAAGGTGAAAATACCAGCAATAACTACTAATAAAAAGGTTCCCACTTAAAGCAACAACAAACCTACCTAGGAACAACAATAAAAAAAATATGAGAACTCCATTAAAAGATGCCGGGCACGGTGGCTCACGCCTGTAATCCCAGCACTTTGGGAGGCCAAGGCAGGTGGATCACGAGGTCAAGAGATCGAGACCATCCTGGTCAACACGGTGAAACCCCGTCTCTACTAAAAATACAAAAAATCAGCTGGGCATGGTGGCGCGTGCCTGTAATCCCAGCTACTCAGGAGGCTGAGGCAGGAGAATTGCCTGAACCCAGGAGGTTGCGGTGAGCCGAGATGCGCAAGTGCACTCCAGCCTGGGTAACAAGAGCGAAACTCCGTCTCAAAAAAAAAAAAGAAAAGAAAACTGCACTTACAATTTGAATGGAGAAAAAAGGAATGTAAATTCTTCCCAAGTTAATTTTATTTAAATTATGAATAAATTCCCAGAGGGAGTTGGTGTCTGGAGGAGGCCTGAATAAATTTTATGCTGAAGTTGACTTAGAATAGTAAGAATAGCTTGTATATTTATGAACATGGAAAGTGGGAATTTGTTTCTTATTACAACTTACATTAACCAGTAATGAAAATGGCAAGGTACTAGAGCAAGAGTAGACACCAGTAGTACTATATTTAGTCAATAATTTTATTTATTTATTTATTTTTGAGAAGGAGTTTCTCTCTTGTTACCCAGGCTGGAGTGCAATGGCGCGATCTCGGCTCACCGCAACCTCCGCCTCCTGGGTTCAGGCAATTCTCCTGCCTCAGCCTCCTCAGTAGCTGGGATTACAGGCACATGCCACCATGCCCAGCTAATGTTTTGTATTTTTAGTAGAGACGGGGTTTCACCATGTTGATCAGGATGGTCTTGATCTCTTGACCTCGTGATCCACCCACCTCGGCCTCCCAAAGTACTGGGATTACAGGCTTGAGCCACCACGCCTGGCCTAGTCAATAATTTTATACTATAATTGACTAATATTGACCAGTGCAACAGAATCTGCACCTCAGAAACAGATTTTTGAAGGTAATATATGAGACAGGAAACAGTAAAAGCCAATAAGAATTATCCAAACAAGGATTATTTGCAAATACCAACTTAAATGCTCACCTAAATACTAAATAGGAACAGTCATAAAGACACCATCCTTTCGATTACAAAATTAGCAAAACTGAGCATAACAGTATTCAATGCTGGGATTGGTGCATTGGGAGAAGTACTTTCAAACTAATGGCAGAAATGTAAAAGTAATTTAACAGTGTGTATCATAGTTTTTCAAAAGTTCATTCTCTCTCTTTTTTTTTTTTTTTTTTTTTTTGAGACAGAGTTTCACTCTTGTTACCCAGGCTGGAGTGCAATGGCGCGATCTCGGTTCACCACAACCTCCGCCTCCTGGGTTCAGGCAATTCTCCTGCCTCAGCCTCCTGAGTAGCTGGGATTACAGGCACGCGCCACCATGCCCAGCTAATTTTTGTATTTTTTTTTTTTTTTTGAGGCGGAGTTTCACTCTTGTTACCCAGGCTGGAGTGCAATGGCGCGATCTCAGCTCACCGCAACCTCCGCCTCCTGGGTTCAGGCAATTCTCCTGCCTCAGCCTCCTGAGTGGCTGGGATTACAGGCACATGCCACCATGCCCAGCTAATTTTTTGTATTTTTAGTAGAGACGGGGTTTCACCATGTTGACCAGGATGGTCTCGATCTCTTGACCTCGTGATCCACCTGCCTCGGCCTCCCAAAGTGCTGGGATTATAGGCTTGAGCCACCGCGCCCGGCTTGTACTTTTTTTTTTTAGTAGAGACGGGGTTTCACCACGTTGACCAGGACGGTCTCGATCTCTTGCCTCGTGATCCACCCACCTCGGCCTCCCAAAGTGCTGGGATTACAGGCTTGAGCCACCGCGCCTGACCAAAAGTTCATTCTCTTTAACCTGGTAGTTCAACTGATACGTTACATCTCCCGGTGGAATGTTAAAAAAAACATTAAATGTGAGGTTTGTGAAGAGATTTTAATGACATGAGGGAAATTCTCAGAAACAGCAGCATGATTAAGTCTGAGCTTTGGCATTAAATACAATTTAAGTCTCATCTTTGCTATTTACTAGTTTATGTGACCTGTGTAAAGTTATGTAATCTCTCTAAACATATTTCCTTATGTATTTGAAAAGAGCATTAGGCTGGGCCTGGTGGCTGATGCCTGTAATCCAAGCACTTTGGGAGGCTGAGGTGGGCGGATCATGAGGTCAGGAGGTCAAGACCATCCTGGCCAACATGGTGAAACCCATCTCTACTAATAATAATACAAAAATTAGCTGGGCATGGTGGTGTGCACCTGTAGTCCCAGCTACTCAGGAGGCTGAGGCAGGAGAATCACTTGAACCTGGGAGGCGGAGGTTGCACTGAGCCACGATCTCACCACTGCATTCCAGCCTGAGTGACAGAGCGAGACTTCATGTCAAAAAAAAGAAAAGGGAAGGCGTTATTATGAATACTAACACACATATACAATCCTATATACTCAACAAATGCTAACATTATTAATACCAAACCATAAAATAAGTTAAGACTACAATGAGATAAGGTTTTATTTAGAATGTAATCTGCCTATTTAAAAAATGTATGGTATACACCAAAATGTTGAGAGGATATCACTAGTCAATAGAATTCAGTGGTTTTTATCTTATGGATCCCCTATAATCAGCATGTTACTTTCACAGTAAGACGAAAACACTAAATAGGTGATAACAGAATTGAGAAAGTGTGTCTTACCATTAAATTGAAAACTCAGGCCGGGTGCTGTGGCTCATGCCTGTAATCCTAGCACTTTGGGAGGCCGAGGTGGGTGGATCACCTGAGGTCAGGAGTTCAAGACTAGCCTGGCCATCATGATGAAACCCCATCTTTATATATTTAAAAAAAAAAAAAAGAAAGAAAGAAAACTTAATCTAACCTTATCTTAAATCTAACTAGAACTAGTCAGCACAGTTTCTTTGTTATATGCTATGGTTACAAACTAATGGTTTTCTCAAAGGCATTCCACCTTACATACCATCTGGGACAATAAGTCATTATTCAGATCCTTGTGTAAAATTTAAAAAAATGAATTTATGAAACACAAATTTATTTAAATAATAAATTTAAAGAAACACAAATGTATTATTTTCAAACTATAAATTTTATAACCTTTATATAAATGGGCATTGATATACAAAATAATGTCAGTTGCTAAAACATGACAATTCACAGCAGGCTCGTATGATATAATCCCAGAAATCATTAAACACAAAATCTAATAATTAGAACCAGAAGTTGAAGGCCCACTGAAGGAGTCCTTAATATTATGATGCCTAGGTTTCAAAAAGCTACCAATTCTAGAATGGATTTTACTCTGAAACTGTTTCTTGACTATTTCTTGTTGCATCTCTTTCAGTGTGAAATGGAATCTCTGAAACTCAGGTGTGGCATCAACAAAATCAAGAAGGTAGTCCAAACTTTCTCTTACAGAAGATAATTTAAATTCAGCAGTCTGCTTCTCAGCTTCTCCTCCTTTTTGAATAACTTCCTTTGTAATTCCACCATTGGTTTTTAGGAGACAACCCTTTTCTTCATCTCCATTTAACCACACCCTATCATCATCTAGCTTAGTTTCCAACTCCCCACATTTTTCAAGAATTTCTCTATAATCCCCATCTTCTAAGCCTTGAAAATCATATTCAGGTTCCTTTTTATAGAGAAGATTTTCCCATGCATTTGCTATGGTTATTTGTTTTACTTCTTCCCAACTTTTTGCCCAGTTAAAAATTGCACTTTTTATATTGTAGATTTTAATTTTGGAAACTCCTTTATCTCTTTTCTCTTGCTCATCATCACTTTCTTCAAATATTACAAGACTCTCTTCAAGTTGCTTCCATCTATACAGTCGTTTGCAGCTCAAGATCACACCTTGATTCATTGGTTGAATCAAGGTTGAAGTGTTATGGGGAAAGAACACACACTTTATTCGACCATCTTCACTGGTTAGTGATTCAGAGGAAGGATGAGCTGGGGAACTGTCCAAAATTAACAATGCCCTGACGTCCTCTTCATGAAATCTTAGAACATTAAGTTGAAAATGCCGGACCTCAGGAACAAAGTTTTGAAAAAACCATTCTGAAAACAATTCTCTGGTGAACCAAACATCTCTACTGGGTTTATATATCACAGGCAATGTACTTGTGTCCTCTTTCACACTTTTGGGCAGTTTTGATTTTCCAATAATGATTGACTTTAATTTATGAGTTCCGTCTGCATTTGCACACAAAAGGGCAGACAACCTTTCTTTGTTTATTTTCTTCCCTGGTAGGCAGATATCTTTCCTACTTGCCTGAGAATTTTCTGGCATTGACTTCCAAAAGAGGTCAGTTTCATCCCCACTGTATAGCTGAGCTAGACACAGTTTCTCCTCTTTAATTATCATGGACAGTTTCTGTCGAAATGGCTCAGCATTTTCAGAAACTGAACTTAGGACTTGCTCCCCACAAACTTTTCGGTTCCCAATTGCATGCCGATTTCGAAATCTAAAAAGCCAACCAGTGCTAGCTTTGAAATCTGTTCGCCCAAAACACTGTGCGAATCTCTCTGCAGCAGCCTGAAGCTCCACACCTCTCACCGGAACACCAGCTGAGCGTTTCTGTTGGTACCACATGTAGACCGCATCATCTACGTCACCGTATTTGGCTCCAGTTGTCCTCTTTCTCTTCTCAGCCCCTATTAATGGCATATCCTGCTTCAGTACAAAGTCCAGAATTAATTTCTTATTTTTTTTAATGTCATAAAATGTTGACTTACTGATTCCAAATTCATCCATTACACTTTTAAGTGATCGTCCAGCTTCAATTCTACTTAGAACCTTCATTTTCTCCTCCAAATTCAGTGTTGTATATTTCCCTCTCTTATTCATACTGAATTTAACTTGGAACAACCAACAGGAGAAAACAAAGGGAAAAGCCTTACTGAATTGGCAAATTAAAAAAAAAAAAAAAAAAAAAAACCCACTTTTTTTTTTAAAACAAAACTTAGCTCAAAGCCCCAGAAGGCATGGGCATTGTCTTGGAGGATAATGGACTGAAGGAGATAACTGTGACTGAAGAGCTAGTCTAGAGGTAGAGGTCTTATATACTCAGAAAGCTTCCAGTGCCAAAGTCCTGTCTGGCTCTTGCTCCTGCAAGCCATGAGTGATCATTTTTCAGAATGCGTACTGCTCCTACTCTCTTTTGACAGATATAGCACCCCTGGTCAGGAATGACAGGAATACCTGCATACTTTTCCTAACTCAATACAGGAAAAGGAACAATATGAAGAGAGGAGGGATTGAGCAAGATGTGCTCACAAGAAAGGACGTAGGTGGGATAAGTTTCAATAACAAAATGATGCTTGAGAACAAAGGAGTGTGAAAGACGCAAAGGCAATGACAGCGTAATTTTGTGTGGCAGAGATGCCATGTGGCTTCTCCCCTTCCAAAAAGACCTGATTTTACCTCACTGCCAGAAAAGAGAATGGTCCTCATAGTACTTTGTACATAGTGTTCACTGGGCAGCAGTTCAGCTACCTGGATAAGGGCTCCAAGCTACAAGGACCCTGACATTGGGATGTATGGAGAGCTGGAATTTAGTAAGTTGTACAAAATCTTGGAGTGAAGAAACTAGTTTCTGTTGTATGTATGAATAAAAGCCAACTTTCATTGCATTCAATACAGTATTATTGAACACCGTGCTTTAACTTGAGTGTCTCTTGTGTTTGCCAAAGTAATTTATAAATATGTAAATGATTTATTTGTTAGTGGCACTTTTCCATCCTCAGATCTTCTTTCTTGGGAATATCTGATGTATTCTCAAGTGCTATTTTTCACTAAAACTGTTCTATATTTGAGATATTATCAAGTGTCAGAATCACAGCAATTCTTAGAGATGAGCCCAAAAGTTTTATAAATATTTCACCAGTTAAAAAACTTTAAAGATCAGTCCTTTTGTTTTCCTAAATTTCCATTATAAGTAACATACTTTTCGTATTTGAGACTTTGATTTCTCTTCAGTGTTTTACTTAATTTGAAGGAAGAATCAGCTTTTCCACAGAAGAAATCTAAAAGGTTTCTCTGCTACTGTTTCTGATCAATTGTTTCTCATAAATCCTTCTGCTGGCCAACTCTTCTGTCTCTCTGTGCCCTCAAATACTCTTTTCAGGTCCTCCTGGTGCTGCCCAAAGCCATTCCAGGTCCTTAGAAATGTCCTAGTCTAGATTAACTTCCTGTTTCTCATTCGATACAGAACCTCATGGGAAGAAATAAAAACTGCCACTTTTATCCATTCCAGGTGCTATGAAGAAAGAAAAGAATGTCAGAAAAATAAGGGAAATGACTGGGTATTTCAGTTATTCTTCCTCTTCTTTAGGGCAGAATCTGACTAGCCCAGCCCATTCATTCCCCAACTGCATAGAATTCTTTTTTTTTCTTTTTTTGAGATGGAGTCTCCTTCTGTTGCCAGCCTGGAGTGCAGTGGCATGATCTCAGCTCACTGCAATCTCCACCTCCCGGGTTCAGGTGATTCTCCTGCCACAGCCTCCCGAGTAGTTGGGACTACAGGCACGCTACCACCACACCCAGCTAATTTTTTTGTATTTTTAGCAGAGACGGGGTTTCACCATGCTGACCAGGATGGTCTCGATCTCCTGACCTTGTGATCCACCTGCCTCAGCCTCCCAAAGTGCTGGGTTTACAAGTGTGAGCCCCTGGCGCCCAGCCAGGATTCTCTTAAGTCTCTTATCTAAGAACCTAGAAGAGTAAGACCACTGGTTTTCCTCTCACACGTATTGCAAGAAATGACAACTATGGGTTATGAAGCACAGAGAAGATTGTAAGAGAATATGGTAGTAATTAGAGTGTGGAGCCAATGACAGGCTAAGATCAAGCAACTTTCTAAATGAGGCAGCTATAATTAAGGCAATTAGTAAGTGGTAACTCAGAGATAAATCTGTTTTTCTCTCTCTGTCACTTGTAAATGGAAAAATAAAAATACTTGCTACCCAATAGCAGCACCATTAACTTCAGCCAGTCACCTAGCAAAAATATTCAGTCCACTATGACAGTTGTGTGGGTGTCTCAGAATTACGTATTTGCTTCCAATGCTTCTCAGTTGTGTACAATTTTTTTTTTTTTTTTTTTTTTTTTTTTTTTTTTTTTTGAGACGGGGTCTTGCTCTGTCACCCAGGCTGGAGTGCAGTAGCACAATCTCACTGCAACCTCTGCTTCCAGGATTCAAATGATTCTTGTGCTTCAGTCTCCTGAGTAGCTGGGATTATAGGCATGCACCACCATGGCTGCCTAATTTTTGTATTTTTGGTAGAGACAGGGTTTCGCCATGTTGGTCAGGCTGGTCTCAAACTCCTGACCTCAAGTGATCCATCTGCCTAGGCTTCCCAAAGTGCCAGGATTACAGGTGTGAGCCACTGCACCCAACCACAGTCATCATTTCTACAACAGTACCCAAGCTGGGGGAGGTGAAACCAAAAGGAAAGGCTAAAGTAACATTTGTGGGCTCCAAGGGAAGGATAAACCACTATGGCAGCAAACCTTCCACAGTGAAAATCATCAGTGGCCCTTATTCACTATTAACAATTTGTGCCTTGCTTCCTCTTCTTCCCATGAATCTCTTTTCCACTTTTTTCTCCCTTTAATCAACCCCTTATATTACGAACAAGGCCTGCCAATGATGTCCAAGGGCACTGCTTAGCAGTGCTAGCAGAACTTCACTTATTCAACTTAATAAATTCTAATGATATATTCAGCATTGGGCGAGATGATGAGAATCTCAATGCTGAGGGCGTTACTGTCCACTGGTTCTGAAAGACTAAGAACAATACTTCTAAAGAAATGAAGTCCCAACCTGGCTGAGATTTTATGGAAAGGAACCTACTTGGACACATATTCAAGTGACTTAGGCAGATGCTCATTATTAAATCGGTTTATCTCTCTCATTTGAAAAGGATCAAGATCTATGCCTAACAGGAGTTGCACACCATTCCAACCAAAAGCAAAAAGAGCCCAATGGCCTGGTAATGGCCTCTCATCTTCCTTGTCACCTTAAACTTACCTTAGATGAACTGCCCTAGAAAAAAGCTCAGTCAAAAACTCTGGTATGGTGCTCCAGGATTTACTTTTTTAAATGCAGTCTTTTCATTCCCATTCAAAGGATTCCAGTGTAAGTTACACATAAACTCATTTTCTAACTTTTAAAACTCTTCCTGTAAATGCAGCCCAACTCAGTAAAAACATACTAAAGATCTCACACTCTAATGTTTCCAGCTTTTAAAGTCTTTACTCTTACCCTTCCCTCTGCCTGGAATGTGTCTCCTTTCCCTACTGTGGACAAAATCCCTTAAGGTCTTTTATAATTTTCCCCAACCCCAAATCAACTTTGATTTTCTTGGAGTTCTCACAGCATTCAGTTTATGTCCTATTCTTACATTGTGTTATTGATATTCATGAAATTGCCTCAGTCCTTTCCATAGACTCCTTAAAGACAAAGACGTCATATTCAACTTTGTAACACTGGCTACACATACACTTAATACATATTCCCTTGTCTGTTGCAGGCTGACATCACAAAAAACTGGTAATTCGGAAATCACTCATATTGGACTTACTAAATAATCCCTCGACAGGTACAGACTGACATTACAAAAACGGACAATTCAGAGATCACCGAACACCCAAAACACTCAGATTCTTATAACTATGATTCAGTAAATACGTGTGGAATGCCTATCTTACCCAGGTGACTATGCTAGGCGTCGCCTGAGATACAAGATGAAAACAAGGTTCTCATTTTCCAGGGAGGAATATTAAAGTGGAAAAAGCAGAAGATACGACAACAGGAGAGCGATTTCCAGTTAGCAGCCGCCACTACTGAGGTATGTGACCCTCAACAAGTCACTTTTCAGATCTCCGTTTCTCTATCAAGGAGAGATAGAAAAAAGCTATTTTACAGGTTCAAACCTACCTCACAAGTAAAAAAAAATAGCTGTGAGGAAGGCATCACGAGACCTAGAAAACGGTACGAAACCCTCGGGGGCGGTTGTTTCTGACCTAGCGAGTGGCCCGACCGGGACAAAATGCCTGTTCCTCGAGGAGGCTGCGACGATCGCAGCGACAGCTCGAGAAGTGCTGGGCGGGCCGTCGGAAGGCCAAGGGCGCGGCGCGCGCAGCTGGGCGGCGACCCTTACCCGGCGAGGCTCCGGTGACCAGACACCGCCCATCAGCCACGCAACAGACGGGTCCGCGCTACAGCTTCCCCCACCGGGGACGCGAGACGGCGACAACCACTTGGCGAGCCGGTGCAAGGCCCTCTCTAGGATTCGGCGGGTCTGCAGCCTCGGTGGCATTAACCCTTCCCCGCCTCCGGGGCTGGCAGCAGCTTCTCCGGCGGGGAAGTAGTCCGGGCTCAGACGCCCCAGCCAGGGGGCGGGCCTGCGCGCGCCCTCAGAAAGAGTCACTTCCGCTTCCGGCCAGTGCTCGGCCTCCGCAACTGGACAGAGCAGCGGTTCGCCGGCGGTTGTGCTCTTCAAATCGGCGGCCTTCAGGGCGGGGGCTTGTGTTTGAGCCTCAGAAAGCGACGAGCTGCCTCCACTGAAGCCGAGGTGCCCGAGGTAACCGAGAAGCGGCTTCCCCTATAGCTTGAGCCCTGGAGCCCCTGAAACGCCGGCGGCTGTAGGGAGGCAGCCTTTTCCCGTTGACGGCGGCCGCGGCGCTTAGGGGCCGCAGGACTGGAGCTTGAGGCGGGGCTACTGTCGGGCTCGGGAAGCTGTTTTCTCCCCGTTGTTCGCAGCCACAGCCCAGAGGCGCGGCCGAAGCCCGCCGGGACACTGCCTGCTTGCCCAGTGCCCACGGGCACGCCTGTCGCAGACTTAGACTGTGGCGAATCCGAGTGCTGGCGGGCAGCAGTGCAGCTGCTGTCGGAGACCCTTTCCCGCCTCCGCCGGCTTTTCCTAGTCCGGCGGACGTTCTGCGATTCGTTGAGCCTCAGGGCTAGCAGCTCCTGCTGATGCAGAAACAGAGGAAGTGTCTCCGTGCTTCCGGAGCCGGGGCGGGCCACAAGGAACTGGCCACTTTGAATATCGGTGGCATCCTGGGCACAATTTCGGTGCCGTTTCTGCCGGCTCACCTCAGGAAAAGTGAGGCTCACGGCTCTCTTCAGCCCAATTGGGAAGTCTAAATGACCTTTGGAGAAATATAAAGTCAGCAGGAGGTTTCACTTTCGTCCTTAACAACTCCCATTTGAGTTAATATTTTGTAAACAAATAGCAACAAAACACAAATATTGTGGGTTTTTTTTTTAACTACTTGATATTTTGTAAACCACATACCCTTTTTTACAACTTAATATTTTGTAATTTTCTTCAGATCAATTAAGCATACTTAAAAATTCGTCTAAATCATCTTTATGTGTCTTGCAAAGAAGAATGCTCAGCATCTTGTTTACTTGGGAGGCAGTGTATGAAAATAGGCAGTTTTTTTTACCTTCCTTGTGCAGTGTGCCCCCTCATCCCCCACTGTATCTGGGTTTCAGTTACCCGCTCTCTGCTGTTCAAAAAATACTAGATGGGGCCGGGCGCCGGTGGCTCAAGCCTGTAATCCCAGCACTTTGGGAGGCCGAGGCGGGTGGATCACGAGGTCAAGAGATCGAGACCATCCTGGTCAACGTGGTGAAACCCCGTCTCTACTAAAAATACAAAAAATTAGCTGGGCATGGTGGCGCGTGCCTGTAGTCCCAGCTACTCAGGAGGCTGAGGCAGGAGAATTGCTTGAACCCAGGAGGCGGAGGTTGCGGTGAGCCGAGATCGTGCCATTGCACTCCAGCCTGGGTAACAAGAGCGACACTCTGTCTCAAAAAAAAAAAAAAAAAAAAAAAAAAAATACTAGATGGGAAACTCCAGAAATAAACAGTTCAGAAGTCTTAAATAACTTTTTTTTTTTTTTTTGAGATGGAGCCTCGCTTTGCTGCCCAGGTTGGAGTGCCATGGTGCGATCTCTGCGATCTCAGCTCACTACATCTGCCTCCAGGGTTCAAGCGATTCTTCTGTCTCAGTCTCCTGAGTAGCTGGGACTTCAGGCCCACACCACCACACCTCGCTAATTTTTGTATTTTTAGTAGAAAGTTTTCACTATGTTGACCAGGCTGTTCTTTAACTCCTGACCTCAGGTGATCTACCCACCCCAACCTCCCAAAGTGCCAGGATTACAGGTATGAGCCACCACGCCTGGCCAGTTTTAAATAACTCTTTTTTTTTTTTTTTTGAGACGGAGTTGACCAGGATGGTCTCGATCTCTTGACCTCGTGATCCACCCGTCTCGGCCTCCCAAAGTGCTGGGATTACAGGCTTGAGCCACCGTGCCCAGCCAGTTTTAAATAACTCTTATTACAGAGTTTAATTATTGTTAATCTCTTACTGTACCTAATTTATACATTGAACTTTATCATAGCTACATATACGTAGGAAAATAGTGCAGTTAGGTGCTGTCATTGGTTTTAGGCATTCATGGAATGTACTGAAAACTTCCTTGGATAGAGGGTACTACTGTATTTTGGTCTCACTGTCTTAGCTGTTTTGTCTGAATTCCTACAATTGAAAATCTGAAATGTTCTTAAAGGTGCGTTCACACGTTAAAGTCTTGCTCTGACACCAAGGCTGGAGTGTAGTGATGAGATCGTGGCTCACTGCACCCTTGAATTCCTGGGCTCAAGCGATTCTCCCACTTCAGCCTCCTGAACTAGGACTACTGATGTGCTCTACCATCCTGGCTTTTGTTTGTTTGTTTTGTTTTGTTTTGTTTTTGTTTTTTATAGAGACAGGGTCTTCCTATATTGCTCAGGCTGGTCCAAAACTCCTGGGCTCAAGTGATCCTCCACCTTGGCCTTCAAAAGTGCTGGGAATACAGGCGTGAGCCACCTCACCTGGCTTAAAGTGTTTGTAAATTGAAGGCTTCCATCTTCACAAGAGGATGAAGGGTCATAAAAGTTGTACTCCTGTTACTAGAGACAGACTGAGATGATCTGTTAAAATTTAACAGAATCTAAGAATGTTCTCCTAACCTCATTTTCTCCTATTCTTTCCTTATGGGAAACATGGGATAGGAGGTACACCAGTTAAATCCTTGGAAAATCCCAAAACACCTTTCTGCCAGTGGGTGCCAATTTTCTCACCCACCAACCTTTCTTAAATTTTTTTTTTTTTTTTTTTTTTTTTTTTTTGAGACGGAGTTTCGTTCTTGTTATCCAGGCTGGAGTGCAATGGCACGATCTCGGCTCACCTCAACCTCCGCCTCCTGGGTTCAGGCAATTCTCCTGCCTCAGCCTCCTGAGTAGCTGGGAGTACAGGCACGTGCCACCATGCCCAGCTAATTTTTTGTATTTTTAGTAGAGACGGGGTTTCACCATGTTGACCAGGATAGTCTCGATTTCTTGACCTCGTGATCCACCCGCCTCGGCCTCCCAAAGTGCTGGGATTACAGGCGTGAGCCACCGCGCCTGGCCCTAGATTTTTTTTTTTTAAATAAAAATGACAGTCGTCCACTAGCCTTTATCTTTTTTGTGCCGTTCTTCAGCTGAATAGTAGAAAAGGAGGAAAAAAAAGGGCCTGCTAGTTGATTTTGAAGGGAAAGCAGAACACCTTTTCTGTTCATTTTCCCCTCATAAGCAGCAAGTGATGAGGTTCACCTGACTTTCTTATTGATATGTACTTTTTTTTTCCCTGTCCTCAGTGCTTTTAGGAAGAAGATCCTTTTACTGCTTTTGTACCAGACTAGACGGGATCTCATTTGTCAAAGGTGATACCAGTCAGGTGTCTTAACACAGGAACAGAACTTCCTAGAGCAGAATGATGAAGGTAGATCTGAAAGTGGCTGCATACTTGGACCCTCAGATCAGGGCTCTGTGGGAGACCAAGGGGCCCGCAAGAGAGAGCTTCCATCAGAGTACATCTCCTCAAATGGACAGTCTTGATCCTAAGAGCTCTTGCTGGCACTTCCGGAACTTTACCTATGATGAAGCAGCTGGACCCCATGAGGCTGTCAGCAAACTTCAAGAATTATGTAATCTATGGCTGAGGCCAGAGATCCACTCAAAAGAGCAGATAGTGGAACTGGTGGTGCTAGAGCAGTTCCTGACTATTCTGCCCAGGGAGACACAGACTCGGATACAGAAGCACCATCCACAGAGGATTGAGGAGGCTGTGGCTCTGGTAGAACACTTGAAGAGGGAATCTGGTCAAACATGGAATGGGGTGAGAAGAAAGATTCCTGTCATGTACAGTGTAATAGGATGAAGGTGGATATAGTAGGGATGGTGGCAGTTAGTTGAGAAATTACATGAATTAGATCACTGATTTTTTTAGGACAGTTAAGGTGGGACTTGAAACTACAGGCTTATAAAAAAGTCACTCCCCAGGTTTCATAGATTGTGGCAGAAGCTTCCCTGGCCTTAGAGTTGCTTTTTTCCCTCTTTGGAGCCAGGGTGAATTGAGGGTGATGGGCCTAGACTGGGTTGGCCAAAGAGACAGGACTTGAGTATTTAGAAACAGAATAAAAGACAATAAAGAGGGAGGCTAGGTACAGTGGCTCGTACTAGTAAGCCGATACTATTGAGCTGAGACGGCACCACTGCACTCCAGGTTGGGTGACAGAGTGAGACCCTGTCTCCATCCCGCCCCCCCGCCCCTACCCCATAAAAGAGAGCAGATCCACAAGAAGAACAGAAAAACAATGACATTTAAAGACAAGGAGAAATAGGCCAGGGTCAGTGGCTCACACCTGTATTTTGTATGGGGGTTGAGGTAGAAGGATTACTTGAGCCCAGGAGTTTGAGACCAGCCTGGGCAACATAGTGTGATCTTGTCACTATGAAAAAAAAAAAAAAAAGCCAGGCATGGTGGTTCATGCGTGTTGTCCCAGCTTCCCAGGAGGCTGAGGTGAGAGGATTGCTTGAGCTCAGAATTTTGAGGCTGCAGCCCAGAATTTTAAGCCCAGCACTTTGGGAGGCTGAGATGGGTGGATCACTTGAGGTCAGGAATTCAAGACCAGATTGGACAACATGGTGAAACCCCATCTCTACAAAAATAAATAAATTAGCCAGGCATGATGACTGGTGCCTGTAATCCCAGCTATTCTGGAGGCTGAGGAGGAAGAATCACTTGAACCTGGGAGGCAGAGGTTGCAGTGAGCCAAGATCAAGATCATACCATTGTACTCCAGTCTGGGTGACAAAGCGAGACTCTGTCTCAAAAAAAAAAAAAAAAAAAAAAAAAGTGCTGGGCACAGTGGCTCACACCTGTAATCCCAGCACTTTGAGAGGCTGAGGCAGGCAGATCCCCTGAGGCCCAGAAGTTTGAGACCAGCCTGGGCAACATGATGAAACCCCATCTCTACAAAAATACGAAAATTAGCCAGGCATGGTGGCACACACCTGTGATCCCAGTTACTTGGGAGGCTGAGGCAGAAAAATCACCTGAGTCCAGGAGGTCAGGGTTGCAGTGAGCTGAGACGGCACCACTGGACTCCAGGTCGGGTGACAGAGTGAGATTCTGTCCCCCCCCCCCCGCCCCCCGCAAAAAAAGAGCAGATCCACAAGAAGGAGAACAGAAAAACAATGACATTTAAAGACAAGGAGAAATTGGCCAGGATCAGTGGCTCACACCTGTATTTTGAATGGGGGTTGAGGTAGAAAGATCACTTGAGCCCAGCAGTTTGAGACCAGCCTGGGAAACATAGTGTAAGCTCGTTGCTATGAAAAAAATAATAATAAGCCAGGCATGGTGGCTCATGCGTGTTGTCCCAGCTTCCCAGGAGGCTGAGGTGAGAGGATTGCTTGGGCCCAGAATTTCAAGGCTGCGGTGACTTATGATTGCAACATTGTACTCTGGCCTGGGCAACAGAGTGAGATCTTGTCCCTTTTAAAAATGTTTTAGGCCGGGCATGGTGGCTGACACCTGTATTCCCAGCACTTTGGGAGGCTGAGGCAGGTGGATCATGTGATCAGGAATTCAAGACCAGCCTGACAAACATGGCGAAACCCTGTCTCTACTAAAAATGCAAAAATTATCCAAGTGTGGTGCTGTGCACCTGTAATTCCAGCTACTTAAGAGGCTGAGACAGGAGAGTCACTTGAACCCAGAAGGCGGAGGTTACAGTGAGCCAAGATCGTGCCACTGCACTCCAGCCTGGGTGACAGAGTAAGACGCAGTCTCAAAAAAACATGTTTCTAAAAATTAGGAAAAATCCAGCATGGGCAACATGGTGAGGTTCTAGCTCTACAAAAAATACAAAAATTAGCCTGGCATGTGGCGTGTGCCTGTAGTCTTATCCACTTGGGAGGCTGAGGTGTGAGGATCACCTGAGCCTAGAGAGGTTGAGACTGCAGTGAGCCATGATTGCACCACTGTATCCCAGCCTGGATGATAGAGCCAGACCCTGTCTCAAAAAAAAAAAAAAAAAAAAAAAGGGAAAAATTATCAAACAACTAGGGGAAGACTGCAAAAGAAAAGAAAAAATAGGAAAAAGGGAAACAAATTTGGAAAAAGAGATCCCAACAGAATGGCCAAGGAGAAGAAATGCACTGAGGGGTGATGACTTCCCTACGGTAGATGAAAGCCTCTACTAGCTTCCTTTAATGGAAGCTCTGCTGACAAGTAGGGAGCCAGGGTATGTCCTTGGTGGGTGGTGACACATCTGCTGACCTCAGGTTTGCTGGGAAGAATACAGGGCAGGACCTGCGTTTGGTGTCAAAATCATTTGGAGGTAGGTTGGAGCCTCTCTCTTGCCCCTTTTCTCCATTCTGTCCCCATTCTCTGAAAACCTTCCCTGGCTCTAGCAATAATCAGGCTGAAAGGAAAAGTTTTAAATTCATTTCTTTAATTTTTAGAGAAAACTAGAAGTTAGAAAACCACAACTGTGGGATTGAAGTCAAGAGAAAAGGCCTGAGAAGGCATCGTTAGAATGAGTGGCCTGCCCAACCCTGCCAGTGGCCTGACCTGGAGCGTATACAGTGGAGTAGAAGCAGCTATGTTCCAGGGCTGGCAGGCACAACAGCTTGTTTCCTTTTACCCTAATTTTTTCAGATTTGTAGATAGTTACTTGTGGAACATTGTTGGCCCAATATCTCTTTAAGCCTTTTTTGTCATTTCCTTTTGTGTCTTATACTTCCCACAATGTGGGCTGTACACCTGTTGCTCTGTCTCCACCCCGACAAACCAAATGTAAGTTGTGTGGTAACAAGGATGGGAATTATTTCTAGGTTGCAGTCCCTGAGCTGGGAAAAGAGGCAGTGCTCTTGGGAGAAACAGCAGAGGCCTCAAGTTTCAGGCTGAAGCCAGAAGAGTCCCAACCAGTGGGTATATCCCAAGATGAAGCATTTTGGAAAACCTACCAGGGTCTGCAAGAACAGCTGAGCAGGAATTCTCATAAAGAGACTGAGCCTGTATATGAGAGGGGTAAGGAGCTTCATGATAATTTCCTTCTCCTGGGAGCTGTGGTAATAGTTTATTCAGCCAAAATGTCATGGTCCTTTTTTGAATACCTTGCTCTGGATTTGTAAAACCAGCCTCAATAGCAACTGTAATGTCCTTCCAGACAGCAGTAGAAATACCAACTGTGGTATTGGGGGTTGGCCTAGGGAACAGAAATATCTAAACCACAGAACTCTTGATAATAACTTCGAGAACTCTGTTTCTTAGAAAAGTGGAGAGGAAGGAAAGAAATGTAGTGGGAAGACTTGGGAGCCACCTTATCCTCATAAAATACAGAAGGAATTGGGATCTGATGGGCCGTTAGTGACAGAATGTGAAAACAATGTGTACCAGGAAAAATATAATAAAAGACAAAACACTTCATCTCCTACCATACACAGGAGTCCCTGAGTACTTCATTTAAGATACCTTTAATTTTTGCCTCAGAAAAATATGAGAGAAAAAAGGGTTTTTCCTTTTATTTCTGTCATAAAAACTGAGGAAAAAGTTAACTGGGGAATTGGTTCTAGGGTATGGTAGAAAATTCGTTCTTATTTATGACGAGGCCGCTTCAGGCATCACACACACCACACGTCCCATTTGTACTTAAAAAGTAAGGATCGGTATTTTAGAAATGAGCTTGGGATGTTCATAGATAAAAGAGATTTCCTCTGGCTCTTCCCCCTCACAGCTGTGCCTACTCAACAGATTCTAACCTTTCCTGAGCAGACAAACACCAAAGATTGGACAGTGGCACCTGAGCACGTCTTGCCTGAGTCCCAGGTGAGCTGTGCTTTCCAGCTGTTTAGGGCTACCTTTCTCTGCTATGCACAATTCATGCTGCCCAGGAGGAGCTCAGAGACGTGTTAGCCCCGCGTGTTCTCCTCTGGGCAAAACTCCCAGACTGTGGGCTTCTTTTTTTCTGCCTTCTTACTTTAAAAAAATTGTGTTCTGTTAATTCCTTTAGCAGCTGGCCTACCATGCAGTTCATAGCCAGGTGGTTGGGCTGCTTCTGTACAGTGACAGGTTCTGAGCTGAAGTCCATTCTCTTCTTTAGAGCTTGTTGACATTTGAAGAAGTGGCCATGTATTTTTCCCAGGAAGAATGGGAGTTATTGGATCCCACTCAGAAGGCCCTCTACAATGATGTAATGCAGGAAAACTATGAGACTGTCATCTCTCTAGGTAAAGATTTTCCCTTCCCTTTATGTAGTTGAGTATTCTTGGTTTGCTGAGAATGAATCCCAGTGAGGGGGTTCTCACTGTTCCAGGAGCTGGTTGATTCTCAACTAGATGGTGTCGGGGAGGGTATAGGTGTGTGTATGCAGATCACCTGGGGAGCTTTTTCCAAATGCACATCCTGATTGCTTATCCTATGTGAAGTTCTTAATGCCTTCGCTCTCTCATCCACCAAACTTTCTCTTCCATGTGTTCCTTATCTCAGTAAGGGGCACAACCATTATCCAGTTGCTCAAGGAAAACAAAGTAACAGTCATCCTTTACCCTCATGTTGCCATCATACCCCACTGTTAATTCATTAGTGTGTTTCCTTGGCTCCACTTTGACATATCTTGACTCCTGCCACGTCTCACCTTTTCGCATTGTTAGCATCCTGGTGTAAGCCAATGTCAACTTGAACCAGGCCTACATTAGTAGCTTTCTAACAGGTGCCCCTGCATCTCCTGCCCTCCCCAGTCTGTTTGCTACACAGAAGCTAGATTGATCTTTTCTTTTTTTTTTTTTTTTTTTTTTGAGATGGAGTTTCTCTCTTGTTACCCAGGCTGTAGTGCAATGGTGCAATCTCGGCTCACCGCAACCTCCGCCTCCTGGGTTCAGGCAATTCTCCTGCCTCAGCCTCCTGAGTAGCTGGGATTACAGGCATGCGCCACCATGCTCAGCTAATTTTTTTGTATTTTTAGTAGAGACGGGGTTTCACCATGTTGACCAGGATGGTCTCGATCTCTTGACCTCGTGATCCCCCCACCTCGGCCTCCCAAAGTGCTGGGATTACAGGCGTGAGCCACTGCGCCCGGCCCCAGATTGATCTTTTAAAAACCTAATCAAATCATGACATTTCCTTGCTCCAAAGCCTGTGGTCACTTACATTCAGGGAAAAAAAAAAGGTTTCATCTTACCGGGACTCCAGGACACTCCACGGTCTGGTTCCTGTTCACCTGCCTGCCCTCATCTGCTCCTCAAGCACTTGCTCAGTCTTCACCATCCACTTAGCTGGTCTCCTTGCTGTTACCTGAATTTGTCGAGTTCAATTTTACCCTCCTGTTTTCTTTTATTTGGCACACTGGGGTCCTTGAGTACTTCGTTTTCATTTCAAATGGAGTACTTCTGTGTTTTGCTAAACTCAGAACAATTTATATCATGCCAGGGGGAAAAAAACACATATATATCCATTTAGTAACTTATGAAAACTGAAGTTAATCATCTGGGGAATCAGTTCTAGGGGCCGGTAGACACTTGGTTCTAATTTACAAAGAGAAGGCCACTTTTGGTTACCGTATATATTTTTAAGAAGGTGTGCTGGACCAGTTGCGGTGGCTCACGCCTGTAATCCCAGCACTTTGGGAGGCCAAGGCAGGTGGATCACGAGGTCAAGAGATCGAGACCATTCTCACCATGATGAAACCCCATCTCTACTAAAAATACAAAAATTAGCCGGGTGTGGTGGCACGCGCCTGTAGTCCCAGCTACTCGGGAGGCTGAGGTGGAAGAATCGCTTGAACCCAGGAGGTGGAGGTTGCAGTGAGCCGAGATTGTGCCACTGCACTCCAGCCTGGCGACAGAGCAAGACTCCATCTAAAAAAAAAAAGAAGGTGTGCTATCTTTCCAGAAAAGATCCGGATCTTCTATATTTTAGAAATGAGCTAAGGATGTTCATAGGCAGAAAGAAATGTCCTCTGGCTCTTTTCCACCCACAGCTGTACCTGCTCAACAGATTTTAGTCTTTCCTGAGCAGACAAACACTAAAGACTGGACAGTGGTATCTGAGCTCCTTCTGCCTCAGTCCCAGGTGAGCTGTGCTTTCCAGCAGTGTAGGCCTACCCGAGCATGACCTTATCTGCCTTTCCCTGCTGCCCAAGACCCTCACTGCCCAGCATGTGCCCTGAGGCATGTTAGCCTCAGAGGTTCTACCCTGGACAATTAGGCTTGGCCCAGAGGGAACTGGGTTCTTCCTGGACTGTTTGCTGATCCCTTGGCTCCTTTTTTTCTGCTTTTCCTCTTTGTTTTTTAAAATCATGTTAATTCCTTTAGTGGCTGGCTTACCATGCAGTTCATAGCCAGTTAGGCTGCTTCTGCAGTGACAAGTTCAGAGCTGAAGTCCATTCTCTTCTTTAGAGTTTCTTGGCCACGTGCGGTGGCTCAAGCCTGTAATCCCAGCACTTTGGGAGGCCAAGGCGGGTGGATCACAAGGTCAAGAGATTGAGACCATCCTGGTCAACATGGTGAAACCCCGTCTCTACTAAAAATACAAAACATTAGCTGGGCATGGTGGCGCGTTCCTGTAATCCCAGCTACTCAGGTGGCTGAGGCAGGAGAATTGCCTGAACCCAGGAGGCAGAGGTTGTGGTGAGCCAAGATGGCGCCATTGTACTCCAGCCTGGGTAACAAGAGTGAAACTCCGCCTCAAAAAAAAATAATAATAAAATAATAAAAAGAAAAAAAAAGTTAGAGTTTCTTGACTTTTGAAGAAGCGGCCATATATTTTTCCCAGGAAGAATAGGAGTTACTGGATTACACTTAGAATGCCCTCTGCAATGATGTAATGCAGGAAAACTATGAGACTGTCATCTCTCTAGGTAAAGATTCTCCCTTCTTTTTGTATAAAAGTTGAGTAATCTGTTCTCAGCTTACTGAGAATGAACCCCTGTGAGAGGGTCTCACTGTTCTAGGAGCTGGCTGATTCTCAACTAGATGGTGTAGGGGAGGATGTAGGTAGTGTATCCAGATCACCTGGGGAGCTTTTTCCAAATGTACATGCTCATTCCTTATCCTACCCAGAGATCTTGATCCCCACCCTCTCCCTTTCCCCAAACCTTCTCCATGTTTTTCCCATCTCAGTAAGGGGTACCACCATTATCCAGTTGCTCAGGGCAAACAAAGTACTATCATCTTTTACCCTGATCTTGCCATCATACCCCACTGTTGATTCATTAGCATGTTTTCTTAGCTCTACTTTGATATATCCTGACTCCAGCCGTCTTTCAGCCCATTGCACTGCTAGCATCCTGATCTAAGCCAGTATCCTCTTGAAGCAGGTCTATGTCAATAGCTTTCTAAAAGGTGCCCCTGCCTCTGCTCTTGGCCTCCCACACCTGGGAATCACCTGGGACTGAGGCAAGAGGAGCTCAGGTGCCTGTTATCTGTGTAGAAAACAGAAGCCAGATTGATCTTTTGAAAACCTAACAGATCATTGCATTTCCTTGCTTCAGAAGCCTGTGGATACTTCTTAAAATACTTGGAAAAAAATTCAAACTCTTTTTTTTTTTTTTTTTTTTTTGAGACAGAGTTTCGCACTTGTTACCCAGGCTGGAGTGCAATGGCGCGATCTCAGCTCACCACAACCTCCGCCATCTGGGTTCAGGCAATTCTCCTGCCTCAGCCTCCTGAGGAGCTGGGATTACAGGCACACGCCACCATGCCCAGCTAATTTTTTTGTATTTTTATTAGAGATGGGGTTTCACCATGTTGACCAGGATGGTCTCCATCTCTTGACTGTGTGATCCACCCACCTTGGCCTCCCAAAGTGCTGGGATTATAGGCTTGAGCCACCGTGCCCAGCCCAAAATCCAAACTTCTTACCAAGGCCTCAGGACCCTCCATGGTATGGTTTCTATGAACATTTCTGCCCATGTGTCTTGCTACTGGTGCCCTTGTGCACTTAGTCCTCTTTAGCCACACTGATCACCTTTTTGTTACTTGAACTCACCAGGCTTTTATCTGCTTTTCCTTTGCTTGCAAAGGAAGGCCCTTTTTGACCATGTGGCAAAACTCACTTTTAGGTTTCTTTTAGGTATTACTTTCTCAAAGAGCTGTCCCACAGAACCTTATCTATTTTTTTTCTATTTTTTTTAAGAGATGGGGTTTCACCATGTTGGCCAGGCTGATCTTGAACTCCTGACCTCAAGTGATCTACTCACCTCGGCCTCCCAAAGTGCTGGGATTACAGGCGTGAGCCACCGCACCTGGCAGAACCTTATCTAAAATAGCTTCACAGGATCAGAATCTTACAATACTCTTTTACCATGATTTAGTTTTCTTTAAAACATTTATCACTCCCTGACATTATTTTGTTTATTGATTGACAGTCAATCAATAGCTTACACAGTTATAATGTAAGCTCCATGAAATCAAGGGTCTTCTTTACTTCTATATCCCTAGCCCTCAAGCAGTGCCTGACGAACCATAGCCACTCAATGCATGTTTATTGAATTAATGAGTGACAGAGGTTCATACCTGGAAATCCATAATAAGAGAAATTTCACTAAGTGGTTTTGGTCTATTTCCTTTACGTGCATGTGAACCAGTAATCTATAGGAATAGTAGAAATCTATTCTAGTTCAGGGCCTGTGACTAAAAAATAAAGGCTAAATAAAAAGTAACTAATTATAATAGCAATCATTTGTACTTATGATACCCAAGCCAGCATCCTTCACCTTGGCTCTGCTATAACTGCTCTTATTCGGGCTGAGTCCTAGAGAGTTAATAAGACCAGCTTATATTCCCTGCAACTTCTGGAGCTTGGTTCCCTCTTGGTTGAATATAGGGCATTGATGGCAAAAGAGGGAGAATATGCAGGCTGGGCGCAGTGGCTCACACCTGTAAACCCAGCATTTTCGGAGGCTGAGGCGGGTGGATAATGAGGTCAAGAGGTCTAGACCATCCTGGCCAGTATGGTGAAACCCTGACTCTATTAAAAGTACAAAAATTAGCTGGGCATGGTGGCATCCACCTGTAGTCCCAGCTACTCAGGAGACTGAGGCAGAAGAATTGCTTGAACCTGGGAGGTGGAGGTTACAGTGAGCTGAGATCATACCACTGTACTCCGGCCTGGTGACAGAGCAAAACTCTGTCTCAAAAAAAAAAAAAAAACAACAAAAGAGGGAGAACATGTACTGGATTCCTATTCCCTGTATCCTTTTCATTGATCCATCTTAGGTTTATTTCTTAGTTTCTGCTTTGCCTATCTACCTATAGGTACAGGGTAGTACAGACATAAACTGGATGTTTAACCATTTGAAGTAACAATTTGTAAAATGTCTTTGGTCATCCTGAAATAGTCTGGGATTAATGGACCAGTTCAGTGTTAAGTTACTTGTCCTTGACCTCATTTTGTCCATTTCACAGCATTATTTGTGCTCCCCAAACCTAAAGTGATCTCCTGTCTAGAGCAAGGGGAAGAGCCATGGGTTCAAGTATCCCCGGAGTTTAAGGATAGTGCCAGAGGATCTTCCACAGGTAAATACACCATGGGAAGAGGAGGACTGTGCCTTGATATTAACTTTTGGAAGGGCTTAACATTTTAGGATTCTGTTCCTTTTTTTTTTTTTTCCAATTGATCATTGAATTTTTCTTTACATTCATGTGATTTTCTTGTTCTGGGACACAGATAGGTGATTATGTTTATTCCAACAGGGTTAAAGCTCAAAAATGACACTGAAAATCATCAGCCTATATCTCTTTCTGACTTAGAAATACAAGCACCAGCAGACATCATATCAAAAAAGGCCAAAGTGAAAGTTCCCCAGAAAATAGCAGGCAAAGAAAATCATGTTGATATGCACAGAGTAGGGAAATGGCACCAAGATTTTCCAGTGAAGAAAAGGAAAAAACTTTCAACCTGGAAACAAGAGCTACTGAAACTTATGGATCTTCACAAGAAAGATCGTGCAAGAGAGAAGCCTTTTAAATGTCAGGAATGTGGGAAAACCTTCAGAGTTAGCTCTGACCTGATTAAGCACCAAAGAATTCACACTGAAGAGAAACCCTATAAATGTCAACAGTGTGATAAAAGGTTTAGATGGAGTTCAGATCTTAATAAGCACTTAACAACACACCAAGGAATCAAGCCATATAAATGTTCATGGTGTGGGAAAAGCTTTAGTCAAAATACAAATCTACATACACACCAAAGAACTCATACTGGAGAAAAGCCCTTCACATGTCATGAATGTGGAAAAAAATTCAGTCAGAACTCCCACCTTATTAAACACCGGAGAACCCACACAGGTGAGCAGCCATATACTTGTAACATATGCAGGAGAAACTTCAGCAGGCGGTCAAGCCTTCTTAGACACCAGAAACTCCACCTGTGAAGAGAAGTTGTCCAGTGCTCTCATTCTGAAGATATTCACCAAATGGAGCGTGACACTAAAATTTATGGAAAACAAAATAACAAACCTTGATAAATTTTACATCAGAAAATGTGGGGGGATAAACGTATGTTTCACAGAAAAGAATGATTTCCTCTGCAGCCAATCAGTAGTCTTCTGTCGTCACGGAAGTAAACATTGTTGGTTTTACATTGATCTCTCCAGTCGTTCTTGAACATATCTAATAGAATTGTTTGCAGCATGGTCTTCCAAAAAAAATGGTAACATGCATGTTTAATTGTATACCATTTTCTTCATGGTAGGAAGCTTACTAATTTCAATAGTCTCATGAGGCAGAAATAAATTATAATGTAAAGTGTTCCAAGAACCAAATTGGATTTTCTTTTCTTTTGTCATTGGACACTGTTCATAAAGTTCAATGTCATTTGAGTTCCTTCTTGAACTTTTGGCAACTTCTGCTCTTGGATCCTGTTATCACAGTTTTTACTGTGATGAAATCTTGTTAACTTCACCACTAGGGAATCTCCAGATGAACTAATAATGCACTCTCTTATGCATCTCATTGGTAGTGTTTGGAAAATAGAAAACATCTCTAATGGGATCATGGGGAAACAGGTTGGAATTTGTAGCCATGGAATATATATTAGATGTAAAGAAGAATTATCTGCATTAAAAGAAACTAGACTTTTACATCCCTACCTTGCAATGTCAGTAGGATAAAGCAGCTATAAAAATTAGTACTTGCCCAAGGCCTGAAAGAAAATTAGTGGGAGTTAAGGATCAACTTTTCAGGGTTTTGTTCGTTTACTTTTTAATTTGGCTTTTGTTGTTGTTGTTGTTATTAAGAGTAAGAGACTTATGTTTGTTTGGGAGTTGGAGTGTGTTTGCTACAGGCAGGATTCTATGGCTCATTTGGCATAGAGACTGGACTTCTAGTCAGTGGGATATGGTTCCCTACATAGAGGATTTGGGAAGTGGTGCTGAGTGTTGGGTGAGGATGGGCAAATCCACATCTATGTTGTTTTGTCCTACACTAAGCTCTACTTGTCTTTGTTCTTTCCAGCACAGCATTTAACAGCAGCCTGAGGTCATAAATTTGATGGATTGTCAAAAGTCCTGTATAGCCTATGGATTTTCTTACAACTTGCTTAACTGCAGCAGTGACTCAGGTGTGTTTCTGTTAGAGCTTTTAGGTATATCAGGAAAGAGGTTAAATAACTGACCTTTTCCATACCTCTTATTTTATAAGTGAGGAAGTTAAGGCTCAAAAAAGTACAGGGACTTGCTCAGAGGTACAGGGCCTTATTGCTAGAGAGTCTGTTGACTGTTATTTAGCTTCATGAATCAGATATGAAGGCAAGAATAGCAAGACAAATTTATTCTGTTATCCCTGCACAACCAGCCTGGATGACATATTCATTTCCAGTTTATAACATCTATTGGCCAGGCACAGTGTGGCTCATGCCTGTAATCCTAGCACTTTGGGAGGCTGAGGTGGGCAGATCACAAGGTCAGGAGTTCGAGACCAGCCTGACCACCATGGTGAAACCCCGTCTTGGCTGGGTGTGATGGCTCATGCCTGTAATCCCAGGACTTTGGGAGGCTGAGGCAGGTGGATCACGTGGTCAGTAGATCGAGACCATCCTGGCTAACATGGTGAAACCCTGTCTCTACTAAAAATACAAAAAAACAGCCAGGCATGGTGGCATGTGCCTGTAGTCCGAGCTACGTGGGAGGCCGAAGCAGGAGAAGCAGGAGAATTGCTTTAACCTGGGAGGTGGAGGTTTCAGTGAGCCAAGATCGCACCACTGCACTCCAGCCTTGGCGACAGCAAGACTGTCTCAGAAACAAAATAAAAACTTTTATGTTTTTTGGTGGTGACTGGAATAAGTCTCCATTTCCTTTTTTTGTTGTTGTTGTAAGATGGGGTTTCACCATATTGGTCAGGCTGGTCTCGAACTCCTGACCTCAGGTGATCCGCCCACCTCAGCCTCCCAAAGTGCTGGGATTACAGGCGTGAGCCACCGCACCCAGCCAAGTCTCCATTTTCTTAAGTTGAGACAACACTCAATTTAAGGTTGTTCTGGGGATTAGATGGATTGATGAAAGTAAAGCATCTAAAACAGACCGGCTCATAGTAGATGCACATTTGGTGTGCGTTTCTGCCCCTTTCCCCTCCTCCCTGGTGATACGTTGGGCAAGCTGACTGCATTTGTGCATTTATGGCTATTACAGCCCCATTTAGGAGCTGAGCAACTGTGGTTGTGGTGATGCTAAGTTGATTTGATTCTTGGCTTCAGAGCTTTATGAACTAAGTCACAGGAGCCATCTGAGCTATTGGTCTGGAACTCTCAGCAGCAATTTTATTTTGTTTTCTGAAATGAATTACATTAAGTATTCTTTTTTTTTTTCCCCTGGAGACAGAGGTTTGCTCTTGTTACCAGGGCTGGAGTCCAGTGGCACCATCTCGATTCTCTGCATCCTCCACTTTCCAGATTCAAGCGATTCTCCTGCCTCAGCCTCCCAAGTAGCTGGGATTACAGGTGTGTGCCACCATGCTCAGCTGATTTTTGTATTATTGGTAGATACGGGGTTTCACCCTGTTGGCGATGCTGGTCTCGAATTCCTGACCTCAGGTGATCCACCCACCTCGGCCTCCCAAAGTGATGGGAGCATAAGCTGCTGTGCCTGGCCAATAGAAATATAGGCTAATAATAATTAGCCTATGCTAATTATTTCTTAAGTACAGCCACCTCTGAAGCTCTGGTCTGCCTAGCTCTTCCCCAGCACCTTCTTAACCTTAAACTTCCAGGATTCTGTTTCTTCTCCCAGATCATGTGTGGCTTTCTTCCTGGCACTACATTTATTCATACCATTTGATTTAATGAAGGCCTATGATCTGCCAGGCACTGTCCTACACTCTGAGGACACAGGATTGGCCAAAAGACAAAATTTCATCCCCTCATGGAACTTGTATCTAGTAAACAGTAAAAATAATGGTTTTGCTTTCCTGCTCCTTGCACTAAGACGGGGTTATGAGATAGTTTTGGTCAATGAGTTGTGAGCAGAAACAGCCTCACTTCTGGTTGAAGCTTTTTATTTATTTATTTGTTTTTTTGTTGGTGCAAGACCAGTGCTCTCCTGCCTTAATCATGAAACCAGTGCTCTCCTTTCCTGCCTTAATCATGGAACCACATACAGAGAGAAGAGCCATGAAATCAAAGCAGTCCAGAACGCTGAGCCACTGCATGGAGAGTAGCTATTCCTAAGGGTCTCCAGACTGACAGTGGACTTTGTGAGAAGAAGAAATAAATATCTGTTCTGTTAAACAACTGATGGTGCTCTGTGTTCTAGTAGCATAACGTGGCCTGTCTTAATAGAGCTTAGAAGAGGGCAGTTGAGGAATGGCTGTTCTGCTGGAGCTCTGGAACTTTGCCCTTTTCATTCTACCTAGCCTTTGGCCTTCAGAAGCGATCCGGCTTTCCGGGGATGCTCAGCTGAGCTAATGCAGTGCTAGTGGGACCACTTAGGTGCTCCCAAGACTGTACATGATAGGGAAGAAAGACATTACTATCTGGGACAAATCTTATGGGAGGTCAGTTCAAGGGGACAAGGTAACCCTCCTTCCCACTCATGCCTTATTCTACTTTCCTTGTTCTTTGTCTCCCTGTGCATTGCCTCATGCACTAGACAGACATTTTTATTGATGAGTGGCCTGTGGGGGTATGGGGCGGGGGCAGGAGCAAGGGATTTCAAAGAATGGTTTTGTAACTACCTTTGTCATATCTTCAGTGAGTTGTACCTCAGAAGACAGATGAGATATAGGGCAAAAGCAGATTTGCTCAGATCAGTTTGGAGAGTTAGGTAGCTCTCTTCCTGGACTAAGGGATTACAGACAACTGGGGAGAAACTTGGGCAGGGAGGCAGGAGCAGGACAGTTCCAGTTGCGGAGTGAGAATCCTCCATGGGGAAAGTCCTAGCTTAGCTTATACCCAGCTGCTGTGCATAACATGATGTCTCATAACAACATTGAAATTTGTCGGGTGGGGAATGGAAGAAGGTATTTTTGTAGCTTGAGAGGAGATCAGGTTACTAAAATGAAATCAGATGATATGAGAACAGATTACTTAAACCATGAGATCAAAATGTATTGAGGCTTGGTTTAAAAATTAAATATGAGAGACACATAATCCTAGGTTTAGTCTTAAACATTGGTACTAACGTTCTCACAAATGTATCCCCCATAAACAAGCAGATGATTTCTGGGAAACCCGAGGGATGCTTTATTTTAGCATGTTCAGATAGCAGCCTTGAGGCAACCTGGCTTCAAGATTATTTCTGAGAACTATGATTGACCCAGTCTAGTCTCCTGACCTCTCCCTGTGCTAGTCTAAGTACAATGCTGGGACCATCCCAGACTTAGAGTTCTCCCTGCCATTAAGCAGACTGAAACCTCAAGCTCATCTTGAGATCTTCAGATATATTTTATTTTTGAGACAAGGGTCTCAATCTGTTGCCCAGGCTGGGGCTCACTACAGCCTCAATCTCGCAGGCTCAAGCAATCCTCCCACCTCAGCCTCCTGAGTATCTGGGACTACAGACATGTGCCACCATGCCTGGCTTATTATTTTTTGTTTTTAGTAGAGATGAGGTATTGCTTTGTTGCCCAGACTGATCTTGAACTTCCAAGCTCAAGTGATCCTCCGGCCTTGGCCTCTCAAAGTACTGGGATTACAGGCATGAGCCACCATGCCCAACCTCAGATATCTTTTAACTGGAGAGGAAGAACAGGAGGGCTTAGAATCAAACTAAATGTCAAAACTAAAACTCCTAGGGTTTCTGTCAGCTTTTGGAACAGTGTTGAATTTCCCTGGAGAGTTTGAGGAAGAATGCCCAGCAGCGTCTTTTATCCAAATGGACAATTGGTAACAAAAAATTGGAGTTCATAGAGGAGTTTCCAAACGTGTTAAGTCACGCCTCTGAAACGTTTATTCCTGCATATCCTGGTCACTCCTTCCTGTCACGTGTAATGGATCAATTACTCTTTTCTTAGAGGCTTATTTGCCAAAGTTCTCCCCCGATTCTTTCTGTGGGCTGAATTCTCTCCTGTGTAGACTCTCTGAAGTACCCTCAAGTGAGAAACAAAGTTTTGCCCATACTCCATGTTTCTACTGTTCCTCCTGTTAGAAATCCACTGGAACAAATACTTTTGTTTCTGAATCTTCCCAAACTTGTTACGCTACGTTTTCTTTCTTGTGTGGGTTCACTGAGGACCAAGACTAGGGCACTGTTTGAAACATCAACCAAATTTGCTGCATGTCTAGGAGTCTTCATGTATTAATTCTTCATTGGGCTATGGTGGTTGGACTGTACTTAAGTGCCTTCTTCGGTCA